CAAATATAAGGAAACCCTTCACCTTAATTATGACTTACAGCAATTTGGTAAATTATAACTTTGTAAGCAGAATTGTAACATTCATCTTTTCTCACTACTTGATTCCTCCATAATTTGGGAACTCAGTGAGTATTCTTATTTTTATGGCAATGTAGTTATTTGCATAAGTTCAATAAGAGTCTGTTCTTATAACAGGACATATTGGAAACATTGGTTATGTTACCATGTTTTTGACTGGAATGTCATATTTGAGAAATTGCACAGAATCAGATATGATCAGATAGCTTTAATGAACTAAGGTGAACTTTATGGAGCCATAAAACCCCTTGGAAAAACAATCTGGTACCTTGCTTACAAGGAGCCCAGCAGCCTTACCAGGTAAATAAGAAAGGTCACTTCCTGGCTGCCCCAGAACCTCGAAATATTTTGAGGACCTTGAGAAGGGAGGAAGTCACCCAATCTATATATAGGTAGTACAGGCGAATCTGATGACAAGCCCTTGGCGTGGCTTTACTGGCCTTGAAAGGCCTTTTAAAGTTCAGAGATTCCTTATGAAACATTCCAGCACAGCCAATTTAAAGTAGCTTGTGTGATCAATTACTCTTATGCAAATAATCAGGCAAAGTTTATTGAAACCAGACTTATTTTGCAAGCAAATTAGTCAACTTGGCTATATTTTGTAGCAATGAGGGTAATTTTAGATAGAAAAAGATTGTTTCTGTAGATGTTGGGTTCTAGTGTTGTTGTCTTTGAGGTTTTGTATTTACTGCTTAAGACTCACTTCCTGGATGGCTTCTTGTTACTCTGTTGCATTATGACAAAAGTTTAATTGAATTATTAAAAGGACATACTAAGATTGTTTCTGAAGCTTATCACATCGACTTATCTTTGGATGAAGATCAGGTGACCTATGGCCTGCAACCAGGAGATGATGTACACTGGAAAAGACATCATTGAAAGGACTCTCTCCAACCTAGATTACAAGACCCTTGTCAGATACTCTTAATTAGCTCTTGCACAGCATAACTGAAGGGAATTGATTCTTGGATTCGTATTTCCCACTTGAAAGGGCCCCTGCACTGGACTGGTCCATAGAGAGGACTGCTCACCTCAAACTCACCTTAAAACAATGCTCAGAGGAGAAACGACTCCCACCCCAGGAGAAGACATCAGAACGAGACGGCTATCCCAAGATGCTGGACTTGACCCATATGATTATTTATTGTGTTTTTTCATTTCTTTGGCTTCTGCACATAACTCAAATGTTTTTCTATCATTGGCACAAGTCCCATGTAGACTTTAAAAATTAATCCAATTGTTGGATTTATGGTCATTTATCTATGTCAAGTACTTCTTGGTGGATTTCTCCAAGGCTCTAATTGAATGGTCCTTAGGAAAATTATTCTAGAAGAAGTTATAGTTTTGTTCGAGCCACTTTTGTTATTGCTAGATGGGACCCCTTCACTTGGCCAATCAATCATACTTGCTCTGACCATGGTCATAAATATGAATGACTTAAATCTGCATCATAATCACCCTTGTTTACTGTGCTTTTCCTGGTAACCTCCCATAACTGACGCTCCCCACCCTCAAAATCCTCTTTTGTCTTTAGCTGAGGATAGTATTTAAGGTGAGGGCTTTGGCTATTTTGGTGAGTTACTCAGTTTTTCTGGGTCTCTTCCATGTATACGTTATTAAATCTCGTTTGATTTTCTCCTCTTAATCTTTCTCATGTCAATTTAATTCTTAGACAAGCCAGAAGAATGTAGATGGGTAGAGGAAAATTTCCTCTTCCCTGACGATAGCCTTGGAAACCATCCAGTACCTTGGGGGTGGGAGGGGAGGATAGCTCTTTGGCAACTTTTCCTTTTTAAACTAACACATGTATATAGTAAAAATTTCAAACTGCATGAAAGGTCATACAATGAATAGTCCTCCCTTGAAAGTCAATAGTGCCTCTCATCTCTTATTGCTAGCCCCTCAGTTTCTCCCCTAGAGGCAACCACTGTTACCAGCTTTTTGTGTAGTCATTGGGACGTAGTCTGTGAATATTCAAGTATATGGATATATATTCCCTTCTACTTTTTTACATAGATGTTAGCATACGATAAAAACTGTTCTGCATCTTGCTTTTTATATATTGTTTTCTTCCAAAATTTTGTCCTAACGAAATATCTTGCTTCCTTTTTGAGTTAATTTTGACCATTTCTCCAGGAAACTGCCTGTTTCCTCAATATTTTCCAGTTGTTTTCAGAGTTGTACGTTATATTGTCTCGTAATTTAGAACAACTAACAAAGTGCTTCATACCTATTGGTCTAAATGTTAATCCCTCTTCTAACACAAACTTTCTAAGCAATTTTGGGCAAGTCCCGTGAGTTGTGCTGTGTGGTAAATGTTCATAGTCTAACAGAGGGTAATGATTGTAGTTTATTAAAGAATGATGAGTGAGTCTGGCAATTTTCCGAGATATACTTGCAACTAAAAACATAAAATAATTACTATTTTAGGAGCTTAGCCCTATGCCACCCTTTCCTCTATAACCTTCCTTCCTGAGTTTCTCTTCATTGTTGTGGTCTGGGAGCCACACGCCTGGAGTTGAGTTCCCCAGTAAATGCGACCCGTGTCCCAACCAAGGACACCCGAGAATCACCAACACCAAGTAGAAAGATTAGCAAAGGATTTATACAAGTACAAGTATAGAAGCTTACACAAACTGTCCGGACAGGGTCCCACTCGGAGAGAAGTGAGTGAGACCCCGACTAACAGCCGGGCGAGGCTTTTATACCCTTCACAGGGCGGGAAGTCCCCAAGGCGGGAGGGAGCTGTTTAATTTTGAATCAGCCAATCAGGAACCCAGTTCTTCCCGCCCCAAGCAAGCAAGCAAGTTTCTTACAGAAGCCAAAATGTGCTGTTAGCCCTGAAGTTGTTCTTCTGTTTCTTTTGTCACATCATAACATATTAACTCACACTCAACCTGTACCCTATTAGTTAAATAAGGAAAACTGGCATTTTTAGACTAAAATAATGCCTAGGTAAGCCAAATACTGACTGCCTCAACAATTGTTTTATGGCCTGGCCTCCTCTGAAGCCAGCATCAAGGCCATCTTGAAATGAGTGGTAAAGAGGCCAAGAGATGAGGCTGGGTGGTATAAGTTGTGGTTTTCAGTTGGGGAGAGATAACTAATTTGGGAGGTTGACAAGGAAATAGAAGAGGTTATTAATGGCCTCAGGGAAGCCGGAACGGATTTGGTAATCTGATAATGAGTGCTGAGGTCAGCACGGGGGTAGGAGTGGCATTGAGGGTGGGAATGGTAGTGGGAGGGGTGGAGCAGGTGTGGGAAGCTGAGGCTGGGCCTGGGGAATTGTATCCAATACATAATAATCTCTTGTAACATTAAAAAAAGTTTCATATCTACTGGCCTAAATGTTCATATTATTCCCATCAATATTTGCACAAGTACTGAAACTGTGCTTGGTCTGAGAAGGAGAATTATAAGAATATTTAAACAAAACAGAACAACAAACACACACACACATCTCATTAGTTTGGGAATTTCTTCACACTACAGCCACATTCTTTCTTGTTAAGTTTACTACTTGTGTTGTTACGGTCCGGGACCCACACGCCTGGAGTCAAGTTCCCCGGTAAATGCGACCCGTGTCCCAACCAAGGACACCCGAGAATCACCAACACCAAGCAGAAAGATTAGCAAAGGATTTATACAAGTACAAGTATAGAAGCTTACACAAACTGTCCGGACAGGGTCCCACTCGGAGAGAAGTGAGTGAGACCCCGACTAACAGCCGGGCGAGGCTTTTATACCCTTCACAGGGCGGGAAGTCCCCAAGGCGGGAGGTAACTGTTTAATTTTGAATCAGCCAATCAGGAACCCGGTTCTTCCCGCCCCAAGCAAGCAAGCAAGTTTTTTACAGAAGCCAAAATGTGCTGTTAGCCCTGAAGCTGTTCTTCCGTTTCTTTCGTCACAGTGTGCTTTCCTAGATTGTCCAACCAAAACAATAAGGCTAGTTCACGTCATCCCGCACCCTGTTTGTTAAAAGTGGGAAACTGGTAATTACTTGGCCCAGTGGGCACTCAGTACCCTGCATATTGCTTGCATCAGCAATGCATGTATTGCCTGAGCTCATTTTAGCCTGAGGTGAGGTGAACTGGAGTCTGAAACAGAGAAAGTCCCGAGATAGGACAGGAAAACGAGATAGGGACATGCAGTTTTCTTTAAAAAGTTATTCTTACAATAATAGCCCTCTTTCAGCCTTGAACATCTTCAGTATTTGCCCTAAATCGCTTAGCAACTTTGTAAACTGTGGTAAATTGTGGTGGGATTAAAATGTTGGCCAATGCATACAGATAAGTTTCCCCGCCCCGACCCCAAGGGGGTGAGGGAGAAAAGCAATTTCGGAGGTCTGTGTGGAGACCGTATGAAGGCTTGTAACAGTCCAGTAAGTGGGAAACTGCTAAGTAGCGGAATGAGAAGCGCAGGTAATCATCCAGGCGAGGGCGACATTGGAGGGAGCAGTGGTTAAGGTGCGCTTCATCCCTTTATTCAGCAACTGGGAAAGGAAGTCTCTCGGCCGCTGGGGGAGGGGCAGGCTTTTTCCCTAAGGTGCAGTGCTGGTGTGGGAGGCGGCACCCCGAGCCCCCTCCAGAGAGCCGGAAGCAGACGCTGGCGGGGGCGGGGCGGCGCGAAGAGGTGGGAGGGGGAGAGAAGGAAGCGGCGGCCCTGTGGCCGACGGGAGTGCGCTGAGAATCGGGGTGGAGTGTTAAAAAGGGAGCGTGTTCAGCGAGACCTGTGGCCCAGAAGAAGGGAAGCGAGGCGACGCGAACCCCTGCCCCCGCCACCCAGAGGACGAGGGAGGAGGGCCGAGGCCCGGGGCCACTAGCAGCTGCTAGGCGCTCTTCGGTGACGCGGCCGCGACGCGCAGACGCGCTGACGGGCCGCGGCCTCCACGTCTCAGGTTCCGCAAAGGCCTGTGGGAGCGACCCGGGAGAAGGAGGGCCAAGATGGCGGAAGCGGTGGAGTCTCCCGGAGACCCAGGGACAGCAACGCCCAGGCCCCTGGTGAGCTTGGGTTCTGCGACAGAAGGGTCCGAGGGTGAGGCAGATGCCCCTTAAGGAAGTCGGGCGACGGGCTTGTGGCGTGAAAGAGCCGGAATCCCTTCCTCATGGCAGGTCCTTCCTGTACCCGATGCCGGAACAGGTCCCAACACTGCGCCTGTTCTTTGGGCTAACCGCTTCCCCCCACCCGCGTTGTTTCCACGCCTTCTTGTGAAACTTTCATTCACTTTCCTTTTTGTCCTCGTCCCCTGCATTTTGTTAAATGCTGAGCTTTAGGCGATTTAAGTATTTTTGCATCTGCTGTCCCCTCATTTTATGGAGACTTGTCACTAGCCCTTGTTGGAGTAGCAGCATTCTGGGATTAATGAGAGATTACTTCCCATGGGACGTTATAACTTGACTGTTGATTTGCTCAGTGACCCCCCATTCGTCTTGGTTTTATCCCTGCCCTCCCTGTCGCAGCTCCTTGCAGTCCTCTTCATGATGCTCTCTTGCTCCTGTCTCTGCAGAGGATAGGATTTCTACTGCAAATACTACAATTCCAAAGCCTGAACAGGTATTTAAGAACACAGGCTTTGGAGTTAAAGTTAACTTGGAGGTAAAGTTATCACCCACTCTGCCGCTTGTGTGAATTTGGGCAAGTCATTTCATGGAGAGTTTTTTCATCTGTAAAATGGAGTTAAAAATACCTGCCTCAAAGAGTTTTTACAAAGTTGTAATGACAAATTATGTGAAGTGTCTAATACAATCAGTGCCATAACTGAGTGTAGTCAGCACAACATTCTGCCCCCCAATCCCTCCTCCCAAACGTTTAGTTATATACCAAATAGTGTTTAGTTATATAGTAGTTGCTCAATAAATGGTACATCCCTTTTCTCTGTTTTAAATTGGCAACGTAACATAGTAGAGGACTGACCTGGGAGTCAGGTGAAACTGATTCTAGTTTTGGTTCTGCTTACTAGCTCTGTTTGTTCATCACTTCATTCATTTGACAGATATTTATTGAGTATCCGCTATGTTCCAGGCACTCTTTTAGGCACTGAAGATACAACAGTGAAAGAGAGTAAGTAGGTCCAAGTTCTCATGGAAGACTTCTAGAGACCTTGAGGAAGTCACTCTGAACCCCAGTTTCCTCATTTGGAAAATGAGGGTAGTAAGTCACCACAGAATTAGAGTACTAAATGAACTAATATATGCATAGTGCCTGGTATTACATAGTTACAGGTGCTTAGGTGTTTTTAGTTCCTGTCTTTCATCTAAACTGACCCACTCCTCTTTTATGAAGCTTTCCCCCAATTAATTTTAGTGGTTCTGGTTACTCATTACTCAGTATCCAGTCCACTTCTATTCAACAATGTTTATTGAACTCCCACAGTGTGTAATACACTATGCTAGTTGCTTTAGGAAATACAAATGGCCTGTCCTTATGCTTACAGTCTGATTTGTAGGGATAAGACAAATGTATAACGCTAAAATAAGACACTATATAAGAAAGTTACACGTAAAATATTAACAAAATTTAAAAGAAGATGCTGTCATGTCTAGTTGGGGTGATGAAGCAAGCTACATGGTAGAAGTTATATTTGAGGGGGCCTCAGAGGATGGGTAGGATTTGAATTGCAGGTGAGCATAAGAGCTGTCAATGATTGACCACCTGCTATGTGCCAGGATTGTACTAAACATCCTCTGCATATTTTCTAAACTTCACAGCAACTATTTCAGTTAGGTGGTTTTTGAACTATGTTTTACTTGCAGGTGAGGAGATGAGACTCAGAGAGATTTGATGATTTCCCTAGGGTGGCTAGGCTGAAAATTGAACTTAGGTCTGCTTCTGAAACCAAGACTATTTCCAGTAATGCTACAGAGCCTCTCATTGGTGAAGGTACAGAGGTTAGGAGGTGCTAATGCATTTGCAGAACAACAGAGAGATTACTTTGGCTGAAGCACAGGGAAGTATTAGGAGGTAAACCTTAAAAGATGAGGCTACTAAGTTAGGGAGGCAATATGGAACAGTGGTTATGGATGTGTGCTCTGGGGTCAGGTTGTCTAGGTTTGGTTCTATGCTCTGTCATTTAACTAACTGTAGGATATTGGGGAAATTACCAAACCCCTCCATGCCTCAGTTTCCCTGTCTGTAAAATGGAGATAAAGTAATACTTACAGGGTTGTTCGGTGGATTAAATGAGTTAAAACACATAAAACACTTGGTAGGGTGCCTGGCACGTAATAATCATGTAGTGTTATTTCTTCTTATTGACTACTATGCCGGGAGGTTTAATAGGCAACAAGGAGCCACTGGAAATTTTTGAGGAGGGAAGCGTTTTAAATCATGAATTTGACAACATAACAGAGGAGTTACCATGGGGAGTATCTGGAATCTAGGATACCAGGGCAAGTGTTGCGGTAGTTCCAGGAAGAATTGATGACTGTTTGGACTACAGCAGTGGCAGATGTGAAGATTTGAGTAAGGCGGAATGCTCAAGGGTTTGCAATGCCAGGGAGAATGTGTCTTACATAGTGCTTTTCAAACTTTAACGTGCATAGCAGTCATCTGGGGTATTTTGTTAAATTGCAGATTCTGATTTAGTAGGTCTGGGATGAGGCCTAAGATTCTACATTTCTAATAAGCTGTCAGGTGGTGCTGCTGCTGCTCCTCCCAGTATCGCATTTTGAAAAACAAGGCTATAGACAAATGGGAGGAAGTGACACCCTGAACAGAAACACAGAAGAGGAGAATGAGGGCCCTAAAAGTTGATTAATTCACTTTTGGAAATGTTTAGTTTGAGATATTGGCAGGCCATCCAATAGATATCCAACAGGTAGTTGGACACTGAAATCTGGACTTCAGGGCTCACAAGAGGTCAGGACTAGAAAGGTTGATTTAGGAGTCATCTGCATAGAGTTGAAAATACAGCATCTTGGGTAATGCCTGTCTATTGCCTGTCTGTTTAAGGAGCAGGAAAAAGAGCCATAATAATCGCTGTAGCCTGGGGTCTGGAAGGAAGCTGGTTCCAGGTGAAGGTGCTGGCTAGAGACCATGCCACTAAGCCCCCACCCCCACCTCTTGGACTGAACTGTTTCCTGCTTGATCCACCCCATCCCTCCCTCCACCTTGTTGACTCCTTTCTCTCTTTAGGATTTTGGTCAATAGTATGAGCCATCTGCTCCCAGCCACTTTCTTAAGGCTGCAGTCCCTGCTTTTACTGTGTGTTTTTGGCCCTGCCTCTATATCCTCCCCTCATTGGCCCAAACCAGGCAGCAAAGTGTGCACATGTGTTTATGTGCACACATGTGTATGTATGTGCACAAGGCTGCCTGCACAGAGGAAGGGGAGGGACATGGGGTCCAAGTCACCTTTCATCCCCACTGAGGGGCTAGTCAGAGAGCAGGGTCCACTAGCTGAGGCCCTGGTGGTATTGTCTCATATATGGGGCTAGAGAGCCACAGATCCTGCCTCAGTTCGCTGAGCAATGTCACTGATTCTCCGGAGAAGAGATACTGAGGAAGGGTTGGGATGGGGGATGAGTGGGAATCACATGGCATGTTAGTGACTGCAGTGACTTCTGAAACCAAGTAGCTGGAGTTAGGCCAAACTTCCCCAGTTAAGGGCACAGTCTTCCATAAGAATGTCCTCACTTCAGATACCAGCTGCAGGACCAGGACCACCCTCACTTCTGACCTACTGGCTACAAATTCAGGAGTTCCCTGATCCCCTCAGGCTCTGTAATTCCCTAGAATGATTCACAGAACTCAGGACAATGCTGTACTTAAAATTACACTTTTATTATAGCAAAAGGATACAAAAGAAACCAGCAGAAGGGGGAGATGCTTAGGTTGAGGTCTGAGATGGTCCCTAATACAAAATGTCCTTGTCTTCTCTCTGTGGAGTCAGGACAGGACCCTGTTACTCTCCTGATACATTGATGTGTGACAATATGCAGAATATTGCCAACCAGGGAAGTTCACCCACATATCTAGAGTTTTTATTGAGTTTTCATTATGTAGGTGTGGTTGAATGGATCATTGCCTCCTCCGCTTCCAAGAGGCCAGGTTTGTATCACAGGACTCAAACCCCCCAATCCTCTAATCTTGTGTTTGGTCTTTTAGCAGTGGTTAGCCACCATGCTGTCATCTCATTAACATAAACTAGCTGTCTACCAGGGCTCACCTGTTAACTAAACTATTAGGGCCCACTATGAATAACAAAAATATTGCTATCATTTAGGAAATCCCAGGAGTTTAGAGGCTACCTCCCAGGAACAAAGGACAAAGGCTAGCCAAATACTTTATTCTACAGCAGTGACAGAACCTGAATCGACTCCCTGGGAATCTTGAACCTGAGCTCTTGACATGTATCTATCCCCTTCTGTGAGCCTGCTCCTAAGTGGTTTACTTGTATTAATATATTTCTTCCTCAGGACAACCCTGTGATGATAGTACCATCATCTCAATTTTACAGATGAGGAAACTGAGGCACAGAGAGGAAAAGGAACCTGCTCATTGTCACACAGGTAGTAAATGATGGAGCTAGGATTTGAACTCAGGCTGCCTGCCTCCAGGAGCTTGCACTCTTAACCAAGGCTCTCCAGATACCACATGTTGAGCTTTGACTATGTGCTAGGTGACATGCAGGTGTCATCTAATTCTTGTAGCAGTGTTGTTTCCAAGGGAGGGCAAAGGCCCGTTTGGCTTCAAAGCCCATTCCTTCTGCACTGCCCTGTCTACCCTAGCAGTAGCAGGCAGCAAGAAAGCTCAAAACAAGCAATCCTGGAGCTTGAAAGGGCAGTGTCGTAGTAGTAAAGGGAGAATAATGACTTCAAAACAGGTTGGTTTACACATTAAGTGCTGAAGAATATTCAAAGGGTGAAACAGGAAGGATTCTTGTATTTTTTTTTAACATCTTTATTGGAGTATAATTGCTTAACAATGGTGTGTTAGTTTCTGATTTATAACAAAGTGAATCAGTTATACATATACATATGTTCCCATATCTGTTCCCTCTC